CCCTCCGCCTTTCCCCGGGACCAGGCTGGCGGCTTCCAGGAGCCTGCCCGGGGCTGCAAGAGGCAGGAGCCTGCCTGGTCTAGTGCAGAGATCATGGACCTCATTGAGGTTTGGGGGGGGAGACCTCCAACGTCCACGACCTCTGCACTAGGCACAGTAATGCAGCCTTCTAGGGCAGGATAGCTGCCAGCCTGGCCACCAAAGGCCACATGCGAACCCAGGAGCAGGTTTGCATGAAAATCAAGTTGGTCCAGTGAGACCCCCGACCCTGAGCTTAGAACATAAGAATGGCCGTACTGGGTCAGACCAAAGGTCCATCTAGCCCAGTAGCCTGTCTGCTGACAGCGGCCAGCACCAGGTACCTCGGAGGGGATGGACCGAAGACAATGACTAATTGATTTGTCTCTGGCCATCCATCTCCAGTCTTCCACAAACAGAGGCCAGGGACACCGTTCCTACCCCCTGGCTAATAGCACTCCATGGACCCAACCTCCATGCATTTATCTAACTTCTCTTTAAACTCTGTTATAGTTTTAGCCTTCAAAGCCTCCTGTGGCAAGGAGTTCCACAGGTTGACTATGTGCTATGTGAAGAAGAACTTTCGCTTATTAGTTTTAAACCTGCTGTCCATTCATTTCATCTGGTGTCCTCTAGTCCTCCTATTATGGGAACTAATGAAGAATTTTTCTTTATTCACCCTCTCCGCACCACTCATGCTTTTATAGACCTCTATCATATCCCTCCTCAGTCTCCTCTCTTCTAAGCTGAAAAGTCCCAGTCTGTTTAGCTTCTCTTCATATGGAACCTGTTCCAACCCCCAATCACTGTAGTTGTCCTTTTCTGAACCCTTTCCAAGGCCAAAATATCTTTTTTGAGGTGAGGAGACCACATCTGTACACAGTATTGAAGATATGGAGTACCATAGTTTTATACTTCCCCTCTTCCTTCTTCCCCTGGCTTCCCCCTTCCAGCTCCCTCCTCCCAGGTTTCCTCCTCCCCTCTTCCACCCTCTCTCTTCCCCTCTCCTACCTCCTTTTCCCAGTCTCCCCAGAGGTTAATCCACCTGTGATGGCGCATTGGGGTTTTCCAGTCTCCTGCACCCCTGTAATGGCACGGACAGACTCCACTAGCCAGTAGAATAGAGGGAGTTTATTGCTTCTCCAGGATACAGCACAGATGTCATCTGGTTACAGGAACTGGGGCTAACAGGCCTCAGTGCCTCCCCTTGAGATGGGGGGTGGCTGGGCCCTACAATCCCAGCCCCCTCCCTAGCTCCTTCTCCCCTGCTTCCCAGACAGAAACTCAAGACTGTCCCTTCCGGCCTTCCCCCCAGCCAGGGGCAGCATTCCACCTTCCTTTGTTCCTCTCCCTGGGGGGTAACTGGTAGAACAGGTTACCTCCCTGTCCCATCAGCTACTCAGCTGGGCCATGGAAAAGACAGCAGCCAGTGGGGGTCACCCACAGCCCAAGCCTAGCAACCAGCAAGGTACCCACACTACGTCACACCCCCCTCCCCAAGTTTTGTTAAATAAAGAGAGTTTCTATTTTTGAACACACGTGTCCTTTATTTTGTACATCAGGAAGGGGGTCTAGGGAGGAGTAAGTGGAAGGAGGTGAGGGAGGAATGGGGTATGAGCCCCCGATGGGGGGACTGGGGTGGCTCTGTGGGCTCCTCGGGGTGGAAGCTCTCCTGCAGGGCCTCCTGGATCCTGACAGCCCCCCCGATTTACCCCCCACCCCCCACCAGCCGGCAGCCTGCAGCAAGTGCAGCCGGGCTGATGGCCAAGTGCTGTGAGGTGCCGAGTGTGGGCACTCAGGGCACTCCCAGTCAGGACTCCTTTGCTGTCCCTCATCGAGTTAGACAAGGAAGCGGGGAACCCTGAGAACTGTCTGTCCGGGGTGGGGGTCGGGTCCCTTTAAGCACAGCCCTCGGCTAGCCTGAGGCAGCAGCTCCACACTCTAAGTCCTAACCTGATGCCCTGCCGGCACTGGTTCTGGCCAGCCTTAACTTCTGTTCAGGGTTCACTCAATGTGGACATGCTATTTCGAATTAGCAAAACGCTAGTTCGAATTAGTTTTTAGGTCTAGATGCACTAATTCGAATTATCTTAGTTCGAATTAACTAATTCGAATTGTTAGTTCGAATTAGTGCTGTAGTATAGACATACCCTTAGAGAGAGGCAGCAGCAGGGGATGGCGGGGGCTCCCCTGTGGCTCCCAGTGGTGGGGCCGGAGCACACTGACTGCCAGCCGCACCTCCGGGGACTATCAAATAGTCATGTAACTGTTAAAATTTAATGCGGTTACACGATTATTCAATTACATGCTGTCTAACATCCCTATTAAAAATAGGCTGGAAGGTTTCACTCTGAAGGAGATTGTCAGATGAATTTCTGAACCAATTGTTTAATGTTCCAAAATCTTGCATCATTGTTTTACTGCTCTATGTTTTGAATGTGAGCCATTTTGCCAGCACTGATGAGAATGTCCTCTGGCTTTCTTTTGCAGGGATAGCTTACCTGGGAGGTGTATGCAGTGCCAAAAGAAAGTGTGTCTTAGCTGAAGACAATGGTCTCAACCTGGCATTTACCATAGCACACGAACTTGGGCACAAGTAAGATTTGACTCTTAAGTTTCCACAATTTACAGGTGTCATATTTATGTTGCTGTCTTGATTTAAATTCTCACCAGTGGCTTGGAGTGACTGTTATGATCTCCTGATTCCAGTTCATCCCAGGAGTTGATCAACTGATGAATTGCTTAATTTTTAGGATGCTTTCTTGAGTACCCATTTCAGTGCACAGAGATCTTTATTGTTCAACCCTTCCCACAGATTTAAATACCATAGTTAGTGAAAATAGTAGAAAGAAACCTCATTAGTTGAGCTGTTGATTTTTAGGGCTCAATTCTGTTTTCATTTAAACTTTTTAACCCCTGAACTTAATTCCTCATTCAGGACCAATTAGGTCCTGAGGATGCCAGACCAAGGAGGTCCAACCTATAGTCTCTTTATATCATTTTTATTAATGGTTTATTTTGGTAGAATAGTCTTCATGGCACATAGTGAGCTAAAGGGTACAAGAATTCATATTCAAAAGTAGAGTTGGGGTCAGCCAAATTAAGATCTGGATTTATCCTTTCCCAAAATATAGGAGTATTCCGATCTAATTTTAATTGGATCCAATGGGGAGAGTCAGCTGTGATGTTTACATCCAGACCCAAATTTCCAACAAAATGCAGGTGTGTTACTGTGCAGGGTTTTTGTTTTTAGATGAATGTGACTTGGTGGTGGTCATACCCTTATGTGTTAAGTTTTTTCAGTCATCTGGGCAATCAAGTTGACTATTTACTGCAGTCAGATTTCAGAAGTTACATGTGAAATTGTTTATGGAAATTGAAGTTTAGATTTGAGTATGTTGGAGGTGCTTGTGTGCTCATTTGATCAGGGGGACAGGAATAACAACATTTAATTTCTCAATTCAATCACAGCTAATATTCCCTCTAATTTTTTCCACCTATATACAGAATAAATTGTGTGTGCACCAAGACAAGTGTGGATGTGCACCACCAGTAGAAACACATACTGCAGCTGTGGGCACTCTGCTAATCAGCTGGGTAGTATTTAAATATCTCCCGGGGGGGGGCGGGAAACAGGGGCAGAGTGTGGTTGGCTGGCTAAGTGCTCAGTTTGCAGGGAACCTTGGTCACACCTAATTGATATAGTTTAAACGCTGACTCTGAGAAAGTTGTAAGGAACATGATCAATTCACATACAAACCAAGATTTGCAAAACAAAATTTGTCAGATACTTTTAACTATCAAAATCTCAAGTTGCTTGTGGATGTTCCGTTGCAGGCTAAGAGGCTAATGTCACTAGATAAGTCATTTGTGTGAGCTATTCATTCAACTTTTTTCTTTTATAATGGAATGTGTACTTTGTTCACATTTCTACAATCTCCATTTAAATCAGGCTTGCTAGAATGCAAGTTATCAACATTCACTACAGAACACAATTAAGGTTCACAAGCACACAGGTGGGCTATTAACCTTTTCTCCCCTTCCATTAAAATAAAAATGATTGCACTGCGTCACCCTCTATAGTATTCCAGATCAAATGGTTCCACAGCCAGCTGCTATCCTCAATGGCAGGATTGTCTTGATGAAATCCCACTGTTTTTCCTTTTAGAAAGAATCTGTTCAGAAATTCTTGGATGAAGGTGCCTCCTACTTTTTATATTCTTGTTGAATATTCATTACCTACAATACAGATATTTGATAGCTAAACTAAAGGCAGTAAATCCTGTTAAGATTTTGGCCAATCCACTCTCATGGCGCATATTTGTTTTATGGAATCGTGTGGCTTCTGAAATCTAATTTGTGACTTACATGGAAGGTATTTGGGCTGCTACCAAACCTGGCAACATTAAAATGAACCTCTTAGTCATCCTCCCAGTGACATCAAAAGCACTTGAGCCAAACCAAAGATAGTTTTATCAGGAGAAATTAAGAATGTTGGATTTTCTTTTATTTAAATTACATGCCAATAAGTTAAACTGATTTGACACCTAATAATGTCACCCACAGGTTAATTTATTAAGGGACATTCAGTTCTTATTTTGCAATGGTCTCAATAGAAGGAGAGGGTACTTGGACTGTAGGAAGTCGAGCTATATAGCAAAGGGGAGCCAGGGACCTTCCCACTGTGTTTACCAAGGTTCCCACTAATAGTGCCTTGAAAAAATTATTCTGTGCAAGCCTATGGTGTGGTGAGTCATATCATATTTGTCAACCTAAGTCCATTTTGTCTTGTGAGCATCATTTTGGCTGTAAGACTATAAGGTTTCTTCCCTGTTTTCTTTTTGCCTTCCTCTTGTGCTGAAAATCCAAGACAGAGAGTGAACAATGCAAAGTGATGAGTCACTAACTTGGGGGGACTCCTCTTTAATGCAGAATAGTGCATCCATGAATAGTGAGTGAGCTTCCTTTCCTGTGAACTTTAGTAACCAAGCAACAAATCACCCAAGAGGGGACTTTGATCCCTTATGGGGAGGGGTGACTCTTCTGGTCAAGCTCAAAGCCATTTTAGAGAGAGAAAGGCCGAGAAACAGAGAAGACAGAGTAGGGGGAGAAGGTAGGGAATGTTCTAGAACCCTGAAGAGAAACTGTTCGCATCCCAAAGAACCCTTGGAATAGTAAGGAAACCGACTCAGGGGTTTGCATGTAGGGTTTTGTTATTTTTCAATAGCTCTGTGTATCCCTTGTGTTATCTCAGAGTAAAGTCTAAGTACAATCGAACCTCAGAGTTACGAACTAATCAGTCAGCCACATACCTCCTTTGGAACTGGAAGCGTCCAATCAGACAGCAGCAAAGAAACAGCCCCTCCCCCAATGAAGCAAACACTGTACAGTACTCTGTTTAAACATAAACTACCAAAAAAAAAGGGGTAAAGGTTTAAAAAATAAGTTTTGACAATGTAAGGAAATGGCTTGTGTGCTTGTTTCCTTTAAGTTAAGATATTTAAAAGCAGTATTTGTCTTTGGCATAGTAAAGTTCCAAGCTGTATGAAGTCCGTGTTCAGTTGTAAACGTTTGAAAGGACAACCATAACGTTCTTTTCAGAGTTAGGAGTAACCTCGTTTACCCAGGGGTTTGTCAGAATTCTGCGGCATGTGTTTAGAAGTCTCTCCACAGAGGCTGTGTTCCTTGATTACATGGTTGCTTATCAAAGAGTTAAGCTACAAACTGGCGTGCCCTCGAGGGAAGAGTTGGGGCTCTTGGTACCTGCTCCTTTTTTATTTTTAACCATTTTCAAAGCTTTTCACAAGGAAAAAGTCTAGAAAGTTTAGTCATTTGTGTTTAAAGAAAAAGCTGAGATTCGCTTTTCTGTTTCTTCGTGTGCCCCTCCCCCAGAAATTGAACTGGATGGACTGCAGCCCTGTTCTTCCCAGGCAAGCTCTGTCACCAAGGCTGTTTCCTGCAGCAGGCTGGGGCTTCCTGGAAGGAATGTGGGGAAATCTCCTAGTGAGTATAAGCTGAGCCCTGCTCTGCCTCGTGGTGAGATGACAGCCTGAGGTGGTCTGGCCAGTGGCCATAAAGCATCAAACACCCTGGGGAAAATGAAGAGAAAAAAACGGCAATAGGCAGAATGAAGTCTGTTGCCAGTGGAACGGACACCACATGGTCTCAGGCTCCAAAGCTGAACCAGATGAGGACAAAAACAAGCAAGAGATAAAAATCCGACATAGGCCAAACCAACCAGCATTTTATTTGGATCCATTGTGCCTGTTAACTGGGCAAGAGAGGATGTAAGGCAAGGCAGGTCTCTGTCATGGAGTCAGTGTGATTATTTGCTTTAGAAATTCCTGCAAACTCAGGTTGCCTGGATAAAATGAACTGAGGGTATGCAGTTGTCTTCTTGTAAACTATAGCCTCTGTGTGTAACGAATATCAAGAGGCCGGTGTTCTTTTGAGGGTGCTGTGTGCATAGAAACTCTTCAGTGAATGTTCCATTTGTAACTGGTATGTAAGCTGATAGACTTGTAAAGTAAAATATTGGCTCAGTACGTCTAGTACAGCATCCAGCAGGAAGATCCTGTCATGCAAATGACCATATAAAAATAGGAGTCGGGAAGGATGTCAAAACACTTGCAGGCCTGGAGGAGAGAAGTGGGAAGGAGGACTTGTCTTGAGCAGCTCCAAGATCTGTACAGAATTACATCCCAGGGCAGCTTGTATTTGCAAATTTGAGGCAGCGTACTGTAGGCATACAAGCAAACGGCTCAAGCCCCAGCACAGGAAGTTGAAAAAGCAATTATCCAGATGTGTGAAGTATGGAGATTTGCCTGTAATACATATTAAAAATTAAACATTTAATATGGAACCCGGGGAAAGGCCAGAGTAAACAGGAGACAGATTGGAATATTCAGGTAACTCTGCAGGCGTGGACAATAGGCTGGTGGGAGGCCATTTATTTTCCTAAAATGTAGTGGTTTGTGGCTCCAGTCAGTTCTGAGCAGCTGCTTTGCAGCCAGCCAAAGCACTGAGTAGAGCAGCAAGAGAATTTCTGGAAATGTCATAATAATGATTTTGGAACCTTTGCTGCTAATCTGCTGGTTTTATCCTGAGATTATGAAATATAGGATGCAGAAGGAATTAAAAAAAAATTCCCTTCCTCATTCTCTGCAGTTACAGCCTCACCCATCGCCTGACTTAGGCAGGGGAGTATCATTTATATTCCAGGACTGTTCCACCATCCTGGCGAACTTTAAACATTAACTCCTTTATTTATAACCGCTCCCACCTGGGCTCGTTTTTCCTTCCGTATGGTGCTCTCTGGACTCTTCGTTTTAATGATAGCAGAAACAGAGCTTCTTTCAAGCATTCCTGTAGAGCTGACTTTGAAAAGCACAAGCAAGGCACTGACCTACAAGTGGAAGCCCCAAAGCGTTTTATGATGCTGACAGCAAGATCAATCCAGGGAAAGAAAGACAGGCCTTGCATGTGTTCTTTAAAATTCATTGGTGATGTGAGTTCGTTCCATGGCTATCAGGCAAAGCCTGGTGTGAATTTAGGTGGATGATTCTTCCCTATTTATCCCATTATGATTGTAAAAAA